GAGGGAGGAGGAGGAGGAGGAGGGAGGGAGGGAGGAGGAGGGAGGAGGAGGGAGGAGGGGAGGAGGAAGGAAGGAGGAGGAGGAGGGAGGAGGGAGGAGGGAGGAGGAGGGAGGAGGGAGGAGGGAGGAGGGAGGAGGAGGAGGGAGGAGGAGGAGGGAGGAGAAGGAAGGAGGGAGCCCAGACCCCCTTTGCGTCGTGAAGAGGTGACGACGGGATGCGTTTCCACAGTTTTGGCCCCTGGGGGCCCTTTCCGGGCCCCGGGGCAGTGAAAAGACGCTTCAGGGTGAAGTAGCGGTCCCCGGGAAAGGGTCCAGACATCTGGGGGTCGACACTGTGAAACAATCACGACGTCGGGGGTCTGGGAGAGGATGGCGGACCTTCAGAAACTCAGCGCGTGCCTTCGATATCGCAATTCTGCCCGAAGCGTCCTCCATCCAATGAGCCGATGCAAGTACTGCGCTTCGCCTCGGCGGACGGAATGGGCCGGCCACAGAAAGAGGCTTAGCTGGAATGGTGACCATCCTCGTTGCCGTGCGTTGCCAACCAGCTCCCGCATTTTTCCCTACCTGGGTTCTGCCTAGAAGGGTTCTTACTCTCTGGGCTAAAGGGGCCGGGCAGTGGAAAGCGCCCCGGGCGGTTCCCCCAGTATCCGCCCCGCGGTTCCCCCAGTTACGTCCTCTTAGTTTAGCGTCGCTTATCTCATCTTAGCTTATTCCATATTAGCTTAGCTTAGCTTCATATTAGCTCAGGTGTATCTTAGCTTAGCTTACCTTCTTCTTAGCTTCGCTGAGCTTTAGCACAGCAGAGCACAGCATCGCATAGCATAGCATAGCATAGCGCAGCACAGCATATCATAGCATAGCATAGCATAGCGCAGCATAGCATAGCATAGCATAGCATGGCACATCATAGCGCAGCACAGCACAGCACAGCACAGCATAGCACAGCGCAGCATATCATAGCATAGCATAGCATATCATAGCACATCAAAGCAGCAAAGCAGTTAATTCCCTACCTAGGCTTTGCCTAGAAGGGTTCTGACTCTCTTGGCTTAAAGGGCCGGGCAGTGGGAACCAGCCCAGGCGGTTCCCCCAGAATCCGCCCCGCGGTTCCCCCAGCTCCGTCCCCTTAGTTTAGCGTTGTTTATCTCATCTTAGCTGAGCTCATTTCATCTTAGCATAGCTTAACTTGATGTGTGCCAACCGCGTTGCCAGTTTAGTTTTCTGTTCGGGTAATTAGCATGGGTGCAATTCCCTACCTAGGCTCTGCCCTGAGGGTTAGCTTAGCTTAGCTTAGCTTCGCATAGCGCAGCGCTGCATTAGCATATCATAGCATAGCATAACATAGCCAATCATAGCGTAGCATAGCAACACATAGCGCAGCATATCATAGCATATCATAGCATATCATAGCACAGCATATTATATCAAAACATAGTGCAGTTCAGCATAGCATAGCATAGCATAGTTCAGCATAACACAGGGCAGCATGCCATAGCATAGCTTAGCATATCATAGCATATCATATCATAGCATAACATAGCGCAGCATAACATATCATAACATAGCATATCATAGCATATCATAGCGCAGCATAGCATGGCATAGCATATAATAGCATAGCATAGCATAGCATAGCAACTAATGCTGCTTTCCTAGGGGCTCCAACTTCTAGGTAGGGTCGCACTGGGGTAATTCTAAGATCGACCGCGCGACGTGCCAAACCATTGTTTGTTTTCGATCCGCGTTGCGCCGAGGGAAAACACGGCTTGTAAAACAGACCACCCTAGGTACGTGTAGATGTTGGGAACATCCCCGCGGGAACCCGAAGGAATGCCCACGGGGCGTTAACCAGAGTAGAGTGGGGAGGGGTCGAGCAGAGCAGAGGAGAGTGTGGCATGATACGGTTGGGGATTTTTGGATAGCGCGCCGCTCCGCCGGTTCCAGCCCACCATGCTTCGGAGCCACACGCTATCCACTTCCTGGCCCCTTCAACGGCCCGGGATTGTCCGAGCCCCCCGCCCCGCAGAGCGGAGCGACGACGCGCTATCCGATCGCACGGCATAGCATGAGGCCGGGGCGGCCGCGGCGACACGCTACCCCCAAGTTTCTTACAGTCAACGCGCACAGCAAGAATGGGCAACCTTTGCCAGGGGTACCCTTAAGCATCCTTTGCCTCCTGGGTCCATCCTTGGCCACTTTCGTTGGCCGCGCCCCGCCCGAAAAGCTTCGAGATGGGCGTCCAAGGCCCTTGCATCCCTATCGCGCATCCTCACTACACTGGTTGACTGTACCGTAAAGCAGCGTAGGGTAGGGCGCGGTCGAGCAGAGCGCAGTACGACATGATAGTCGAGGGGGGGTCGCCGGCAGACGCCTCGGCGCGCCCGCTGCGCGGCGCCGCGGTCGTCGCCACACAGCCGCCGGCGTTCGCCAACTCGGCGTTGGCGGTCGCGGAGGCGCCCGGCCCCACGGACGGACGGTCAGCGGGAGGTGCGGGGGAGGAGGGGGAGAGGAGGACGGGAGCGGTGATCGTTTTTGGATTCATTGTTTGCCGATCGGCGCGGCTGTATTTGGCGCCTGCTTCGAGCAGTTAGAGTACGTTTTTGACGCACTGTCACAAACAGTCGCACTAAGCAGGGGTCTGGAGCCAGACCCCCCCCCTCCCCCCCTGGTCCACCCACTGTCGAAACGCCGAATAAACAACAACAAAACAAAACGCCCACCATCACAGGCATTTGAAGAGTGTTCGCCCTCACTCAGGCCCGAAGCCTCTCGCAAAGAGGTCGGGTCCTGAGCTCCAGTCCATGATAGCACAACCAGGCCAGATCGTCGATCCAAAGACCCCCATAACTATTCAACACCAGGAATCAGTCATAAAGGCCGTAGGCGAAACAGACTTACGTGAGAGCCTTAGCGCCCGCACCACGGGGAGGTGGTCTATAGAGGCGCCACGATGTCGCCTGTGGTAGAAAAAACAAGGAGCTGCAAGAACGCACAACGTTCCGCCTGTGGGCTGGCCTGTTCTGGAGCGTGCGGGGGATCCCACGTAGCACTCCGTCGAATTTGACATCCCCCACGGGCGGAAGCAGGGTCCACACGAGCAGTGGGCCAAGCGCAGCTCCGAAGCCTCCCGTCTTCTGCACATCTCCCGCCAGAGCGCGTTCCTCCAGCAACCGGGCCCCTCCCCGCTCCTAGGGGCCCCAACCATACACGCGAGCAGACGGCAGAGGGATGCGCTTGACGGCGCCAGCCGAGGCAGGAAAGCCAGGATTCCAAGAAAAGTATTCTCTGGACACGTACGAGCAGCCTCCTGAGCATCAGGGGCCACACGTGCAGACTGAACCATGCCACTACTTGCCAGGTACTACAGCTTCTGACAACGCTGTCCCAGATTGCGCCGTTAATCGCAGCGCCAGGGCGAATGCGCAGCCCGCGCCCCCCCACCCCCCCAGCGATGCAAAGCGGAGTAGCGAAGCGACGCGACGACGTCATTGATGAGGTCCCTTGCCGTCGTCTTTCTGTCGGCCCCCTCAGCTTTGCATCGAGGGGGGGGCGGGGGGGTCAGCGCGGCGCTTGTCTTGGCGACCCCAAAGATATGGTCAAAACTATCGTATAGCACGGCTACTCCTTGGCAAAGCCAAGCACGCTGCATCATGGCCTCCTGCGCCGCTCCGCCCCGGAGGCAGGCTCCTGAGGGCAAATGGCCAGCATGTCGGGGCCGTGCTTCAGGCCAACACCCGCTTGGAGGGTTTCTCCGAAGGGCTTAGGCCACCCGTCCTCCTCCTCCTCCTCCCTCCTCCTCCTCCTCCTCCTCCTCCTCTTCCTCCTCCTTCTCCTCCTCCTCCTCCTCCGCCTCCTCATAGTCTTCCGGCTCCTCCTCCCCCTCCTCCTCCCCCTCCTCCTCCTCCTCCTCTCCTCTTCCCTTCCTCCTCCTTCCTCCTCCTCCTCCTCCGCCTCCTCATAGTCTTCCGGCTCCTCCTCCCCCTCCTCCTCCCCCTCCTCCTCCTCCTCCTCCTCCTCCTTCTCCTCCTCCTCCTCCCACTCCTCGCCCTCCCCTCGGGTCGCCTACGGCCTTGGGGGAAACCGCATCCTGGTGTGAGCCATCCGAGACAAGCTTACGGTAGAGGCGCCGAAATACCGTGAAATCAGCACCTCCCTTCAGACCAAACCCACAATGGTGATTGGCCGCGTCACCGCAACTCTTCGAAAACCGTTTCTTCCACACAGCGGTCCAAGAAATGTAAGAAGTCGGTCTGCTCAGCATCAAGCATCATAGTAAGGGTATTCCACCGCGTAGGAGAATCAGGCTCCTATCCAAGACCGAGCAACGTGGCAACAACCGCAGTAATCGGCTTTTTGACCTCGGCCCAGCCAGCGTCGGCCGGTTTAATGGCGGACGCAGGACAGGAGGATTAGAATGAGGAGATCGCAGCCTTTTCCTCCCCTTTCTCCAGCCCTCTCACCGTCGTCGTTGTCCCCTCCTCCGCCATCATCTCTTGGTTTCTTGTTCAATGTGTGGATATCCTCGAGCTTCCGGGGACTCCTCGCTTGGCTTGGCACAGCCCTTTTTCCGGGCAGCGAGACGCCAGCGCCGCTCGACAGCTCTGCTCTGAGACGAAGCAGGGCATTGTTTTCAGTGCAGCGGACAGGCTGTCATTTTCGCAGGCGGTCTTGCCTGATGCGTCTCTTCCTGCGCTCACTGTCTTAGCGCTCGCTCACTCACGCCAGCCATGAATCCAGCAGGCAACGCAAGGAACATCCCGCGTGCATTGCGCGGGACAAGCGAAGGGAATGAGGACACAGAAGGAGAGAACGGGATGGAGGAAAGAAGCGTTGCGAATCAGATCTGCACATACTGAGTCAGCGCGTGCGCTGATGACGCCCATTGCTGGTGAGGCCGGCCCTTCTTGCGTTGCACAGACCAGCCCCAGAGAGCCCCATCATCACCAGAACGTAGACGCTGTAGAAACGAAACAACGTTCCTTCAGCGCGTGTGAACCCATTTGGAACGCTGTCGTAGCTGGTCTGACAGGCCTCGCCTGTGTGTCGATTGTGATCATTCCCCGAACACGGTGGTTGCACTCGGGCTCTCCTGCCTGCGCTCCGACTGGATCGGGAGGGTTCCATGGGTCGCCGCGCGGTGGCCGCTCGTGGCCGCCTCGACGCCGCCTCGCCGCCGCCTCGTGCGCCGGGAGTGGGGGAACGAAAAATGACGTAGATACACAAGAACTCAGAAGGAGGAGGGAGGAGGGAGGAGGGAGGAGGGAGGAAGTGGAGGAGGAGGAGGAGGAAGGGAGAGGGACGAGGACGAGGAGGGAGGACGAGGAGGACTCAAGAGGTGGGCGACGCGCGGACTCCTCGGATCGGCGCCGGGCGCCCCCCCTCGGCGCGCGGAGGGCGCCGGGGGGGCGCCGCCTCGAGGCGCCGCCAGGGCGGTGCAGGCTGCTGTGAGGTCCGAGCTGCCCCGTGCCACCGTACGGGGCGGCGGCGAGGCCGCGGCGGGCGGGCCCGCGAAGTGCCGCCACGGCGGCGCCCCCGCCGCGGCGGCGGCGGCGGCGGCGCGGCGCGGCGGCGGCGGCGGGGCGGCAGCGGCGCGGCCCACGGGGCGGTCGCGAGGCGGCGGCGTGCGGCCAAAGCGCGAGGACCGCCGAGGAAGCCTCCCGGCGCACGAGGCGGCGGCACTGCGGCCCTGAGGCGGCCACGAGCGGCCGTAGGTCTGCACGAACGAAATGGGCACGGAAAGAATGGGTACCATGCCCAACAGCGGATCTTGTTCATTTTGAACAGGGCTCGTTGTCCACGCCGCCGCGGCCTGTGTCCATTCAAGACAGAAGGCCGCCTGCCCAACAGCGGCCGCTGTTGGTTTGGGACAACATTTGTTGTTGGGCATCTTACCCATTCTTTCGGTACCCATTTCGGGCGTCCAAAGTAGGGGAACGAACAATGACATAACAAATCTTCGGAGGTCCGCGCGGATTTCTCGGATCGGCGCTGGACCCCCCTGGCGGCGCCTCCAGCGCCGCCCCTGGCGCGCTCCGCGCCCAAAAGAGCGGGGTCCAGCGCCGATCCAAGAGGTCCGCGCGAGCCTTCGAGTTTTTATGTTCATGTAGTTGTTCGTTCCCTTACGATATGCTTCCACCACATAGCTGGCAACACATCGGATTGCACCTGTCACCACATCCGTTGCCTTAGTTGGCTTGGACCATGCAGCTGGAGTCGCACTGCTCCCACCACATAGCTTGCACCACGCCGCTTGCACAACTACCCTGTTACCGCAGAGCTTGCACCACCATGGTCCCCCCACATATCGTGCACATCCACAGTGCCCATATTTACTGTTTAGGGTCCACACTGGCAGACAGGTTCTGTTCCATTGTGCTACGTAGTTCTAATGCAGAGAGTTCGTGCACCATCTTTCGTTCATGTATGCTGGTGGCCGTTCCGTGGATGCAGTTTCAGCCGCCCTAGAGGTGCCGAAGTGCCCTTCACGTCTGTTCGTGCTCCCGCGAGGGGAGTTGTTTATGAGATGCTCTGATGGGCGCCGTGGAGCCGGCGCAGTTGGAACTACCGTAGCACCCCGCGCAGTTGCGGATAAGAGTGAGGGGGCGGCGGTGACGTCGGCAGCCCGCCGCAGGCGCTGAATTTTTGTTAAACCAATGTAGGTGGGTCGCGGGTTGGGTCGCAGGTGGGTCGAGGGTGGGTCGCTGGTGTGTCGCGGGCCAGGTCGCGGATGGGTCGCGGTTAGGTCGCGGGGTTGGTCGCGGGTGGGTCGCAGGGTGGGTCGCGGGTGGGTCGCAGGCCGGGTCGCGGGGGGGACGACGACGACAAATAACAACAACAACAACAACAACAATCATTTTACCCGAACGCGTGGTGTTCTCCCCAGTGCCAGGGTTTTCATACGACACCAGGCAATACCCCCACTTCGTGGGGGGGCATTACAAGCTCTACCAAATATCCAAACGACTCTTCGCGACCACCCAAACCCAGCTTCCCGCCCTATGACGTTGGGACACTTCACTTCGTGGCGTGCGGACGACCGTGGCTACTACACTGGCGTGGGGTACACACCCACAGAACTTGGTCACTTATTGTTGTCGCTTCGCGAATCCCCACCAGCCCATCCAGAAACGATGCCCAGAGGAATTGCCTCGATCAGAGAAGTGGGCAGCACACAGAGGAAGCCATTATGAGACATCTTGGGATATCTTGAGCCATCTTGGAGGTCATTTTGGGCTCTCCCAGACGCTCTTGGAGTCATCTTAATCCGTGCCCCCCCCCAAGAGGCCTCCATGTGGCTAAAACCTGTGTAGAATCAATGATTAGGCATTCTCGCCGAGGCCTCTTGGAGCATCTTGGGTGCATCTGGGGGGGCTCTTGGGGCCTCTTGGGGGTCTCTTGGGGGCCTCCGGGGGGCCTCTTGGGGGCCTCTTGGGGCCATTTTGGGGCCATCTTGGGACCTCTTGGGGCTTCCTGGGCGCTTCTTGGGGCCATCTTGGAGGGAGTCGATCAAACAAGAGGGGGGGGTGAATTAGCGTCCCCCCTCGGAAGCCCCTAAAATCGCCTCTTGGACCCCTCTTGGAACGCTCTTGGAGTGCTCTTGGGCGCTCTTGGGGCCGTCTTGGGGCTCTTTTGGGGCTCTCTTGGGGCCCTCTTGGGCCATCTTGGAGCCATCTCCAGGCCTCGGATGGCCATCGGAAGCGAAAAGGCGAGAAAGCAAAAATCATTGATTTTCCTTAGGTTTTGGGACGATTTTGGCCTCTTCGGGGCCTCCTTGGGGAGCTGTTTGGCCACTTGGAGTTATCTTGGGGCCGTCTTTGGGCTTCTTGGAACCATCTTAGGAGCCATCTCGAGCGATCTTGCGCTATCTTGAGCCATCTTGGAGCTCATCTTGGGTTCTCTGAGGCGCTCTTGGAGCCGTCTTGGGCCATCTGGGACGCTCTAACTACCAGCGGCCCCCCCCGTCCAGGTCCAGGGGAGGGGGTAGGGGGAGGGGTAAACCCCTCCCCAAGGGGGAAGAGGGAGGGGTGGAAGAGGATCTGCTCTAGACCACCTACGCCCAGAGGGCTGGTGGGATTCGGGGCGCGCATGTGCCCAGCATGGTGCAATTGTGCCATGCTGGGCACATGCGCGGATGGTATTATTTGACAGGGATGATGGCCCTGGCAGGTGCGCAACCGTTGTCGCAGAAGTTCGAAAAAGTTGCTCGCAAAAGCCCGTTTGACAGAAATGTTTAAAAAGTGTTGGTTTTCCTACGAATCCGCAAGAGCGCGCGGGATGAGATTTTGACATTTTTTTGTTGAAAAACCATTGGTTTTTTGATGTTTTTATGTTAAAATCGCTCCGAACACTAAGCTTTTGGAAGGATTTCGTCTTGCGCGCGCGAATGTCCACTTTACCTTATTTTTTGCAAGGGATTCTTGAAATTTGATTATATTAAAACAAGAAATGTCATTTTATAGTGTTTTTTGCAAGGGAAAGCGGGGGGGAACAAAACAACCGGATCTTGATCACATCGAATTACCTGAGGCTTCCTCACGAAAATGATGAAAATGTAGCTGCGGCCTAGGCGGCGCAGGGGGGCCGTGCACCAGGGGTCCCAACAATAGTTATTCTTTAGAATTAATAATGTTCAACAGCAACAACAACAACAGCAGCAGCAGCAGCAGCAACAACAACAACAACAACGACGACGACGACGACGACGACGACGACAACAACAACAGCAGCAGCAGCAACAACATTAATACCAATAACACTAACAACAGCAACAACAAGAACAATAACAACAACAGCAACATCAACAACAACAACAACAACAATAACAAACATAATCACAGCAACAACAACAACCACAACAACAATAGCTGCAACTGCAACTCCAACACCAACAGTAACGCAACAACCATAATCCTGACCACGGATCCACATATCAGCCGCGCACCCAGGGACAATGAATGACCGTTCGGCCCCCTCGCTCTGATTTTCGCGCTTGGGTTACTGCAGTGGGGGACTGGTGGAATTCCGCCCGTGGAGCGGGGCCGCGGCGGCCTGGGCCCCGCCCGCGCCGGCCGTCCACCGTGTGGGAAGCACGGGGCCACGCTGGCCCGCTTGCTGGACACCTGTGCGGGCACACGCGTGTGGCGCCAGGAGCTTCCCGGTGGGGGCGCTGCTGCGTCCACCCGCTGTGTGGAGCCCCAGCGGTGGATGGGTATGCTGCCGGCGCCGGAGCTGGTGTATTGTGGGCCAGGCCTGTGAGGCCGTGGCCGCGGCAGCAGTATCGTAGTGTTGATGCTCATTGTCCGCCGCCCAGGGTGTCCGTGACCCCGTGTTGCCTCCCTGCTGGCCGCTGCCTTGCTGCGTGCTGTCCTGGCGTGTGTTGCCTGGTCCAGCTCCCCCCTTGCTGCGCTGCTCCTGCGCTGTCTTGTTGCTGCCGTGCTGCTGCTTGCTGGCCGCGGCTGTGCTTGCTGCTGGCCTCCCTGGTGCAGTTCTTGGGGGTCTGCCTCCTACCCCTGCCGGGGATGTGCGAAGCGCTGGCGGCGCCACTTCGTGTATTCCCACCCCGCCGGCCCAGGGCCTCTTGGGCTGCTTTCCTTCTGGGCCTCCTGGCCTGCATCCTCCCCTTGGCCCCCTCTGCTGCTGGCTTCCCCCCCTCCCCCCTCTGCCTCCTGCCGCGATGCCGTTCTTCTCCCGCCCCTGCTGTCTCACTGCCCCCCTTCCCTGCCAACGCAACGCCTGCTCCCTCCCCCCCGCCCTGCCGTGTGATTGCGGCTGCTGCCGGCCTGGCGTCTGGCGGGGGGCTTGGGGAGCGTGTTGTCGGTCTCCTCCTCTCCTCCTCCTCCTCCTCCTCCGCCTCCTCCTCCTCCTCCTCCTCCCCCTCCCTCCTCTCCTCCTCCTCCTCCTCCTCCTCCTCCTCCTCCTCCTCCACCTCCACCTCCTCATCCTCCTCCTCCTCCTTAGGCTGCCGCCTCCCTGCCCCCTCCTCCCCCCTCCTTGCCGTGCTGCCGCTGTCTTTGCTGCCCCGCTCCCGCTGGCCTCCCCCCGTGGCGCCGTCGCGTGGCTGCGCGGCTGCTGCCAGGAGGGGAAGGAGGAGGAGGAGGAGGAGGAGGAGGAGGAGGAGGAGGAGGAGGCGGAGGAGGCGGAGGCGGAGGGAGGAGGAGGCGGAGAGGAGGAGGAAGAGGAAAGGCGAAGGAGAGGGAGGCGAGGAGGGAGGAGATGAGGAGGAGGAGGAGGAGGAGGAGGAGGAGGAGGAGGAGAGGGGAGGAGGAGGTGGAGGAGGGAGGAGGAGGAGGAGGAGGAGAGCGCGGAGGAGGAAGGGAGCGCAGGGAGAAGAGAGGAGGAGAGCGGGAGGAGGAGGAGGAGGAGGAGGTGGGGAGGAGGAGGAGAAGGAGGGCGAGGAGGAGGAGGAGGAGGAGGAGGAGGAGGGCGACGAGGAGGAGGAGGAGGAGGCGGAGGAGGAGGAGGAGGAGGAGAAGGAGGAGGAGGATGAGGAGGAGGGGGAAGAGGAGGAGGAGGAGGAGGAGTGGAAACCGAAGAGTCATCAACGATGTTGGAATTCACCCTGCCTCCAAGTTTCTTCTTCATGGGCCCCGAAAACGGTTTTGAAGGCAACGGTTCGAACATCCTGAAGCGTGTCAAAACATTGTTCCCTGGATTTCAACGCCACGTATCAACCTAACTGATGCGTCTTGACGATCCAGAATCGTGTCATCACGCCATTCGGAGGATTTCAGCATAGCGAAATGTCATAACTGCTGCGCCCGTATACTCTTGAATCCTTCCCACACATTGTTTCGTGTACGCTGATCATGAGAGCCCGTGAAATTCTTGCAACGTAGAACGAATGTGCGCGGCGCTGGGGCGAGAGCCACATTCGGACGAGGAACCGACCTCAATCCGCGAAATCCTTGTAACTCTTTACAACGAATGAGCGCGGCGCTAAGGAGAGAGCAGCGTATTGAAAAGGAGCCGCCCTCAATCCGTGAATCTCTTGCATTTAAAAGAACAAATATGCGCTGCGCCAAGGCGAGAGCCACATTTTGAACACCACCCGCCCTACATCCGTGAAGTTCCTGCACAGTTTTAGGACGAATGTGCGCGTCGCTAAGGCGAGAACCACGTTTTGAAAACCACCCGCCCTAAATCCGTGAAGTTCTTGCAAAGTTTCTAAAACGAAAGAGCGCGGCGCTAAGGCGAGAGCCACATTTTGAAGAGGAGCCGCCCTCAATCCGTGAAGCTCTTGCAACGTTTAAGAACGAATGTGCGCGGTGCTAAGGCGAGAACCACATTTTGAAGAGGAGCCGACCTCAACCAGTGAAATTCTTGCAAAGTTTAAAAAACGAAAGGCTAAGGCGAGAGCCACATTTTGAAGGGGAGCCGCCCTCAACCCATGTAATTCTTGCAATTCGTTCAAAACGAATGTGCGCGACGCTGCGGCGAGAGCTACATTTTGAAAACCACCCGCCTTCCATCGGTGAAACTGTTGTCACCTTTTACGCTTCAGAGTCCTAGATGGTGAGAAAGTCTTAGGCGAAACGCCCTGCCCGCCCTAAAAACTGGCCTCGGGGTGCGACAGGAATAAGTTTTTCATAAGGAGGAGGGAGGAGGAGGAGGAGGGGAGGAGGAGGAGGAGGAGGAGGAGGAGGAGGAGGAGGAGGAGGAGGAGGAGGAGGAGGAGGAGGAGGAGGAGAAGGAGGAGAAGGAGGAGGAGGGGACGGAGCCTCGGCGCTGTCAGCTCCGGTAGCCGCAGAGCCGCCGCGCCTCTGCGCGCGCGCGCGAGGCCGCGGCCGCGGCGCCCAGCCTCGCGGGGCTCGGGGCCGCCGCCGCGGCGGCCGGCGGCAGCGCCGCCGCAGGCCGCTGGCCGCGCCTCGCGCGGCGCGGTGCTTTTCCTCGTGTTTGGCGTCGTTTTCTTGCTCGTTGTTTTGCCGATCGGGTCGGCGGCCCTCACACCCCCCCTCCCCCCCTCCTGGATCCCAGAGCTCCAACGCATTGACAAAAATCGAGACGGACGTTTTTGTCGCAGTTTTGGGCCTTGGGGGGTCCTCACCGGGCCCCGGGACCGTTCAAAAGCGGCTCAGGGTGAAAAACCGGTCTTGGGGAATGGGTCGACCCTTCTGGGGACCCCGCATTGAAAAAAACACGACTCGGGGGAGGCAAAGAGGGGGGTGATGATTAGGGGGAGGTGGATATCATGGCGGGGGCCATGATATTTCCCCAGATTTCACGGCGCCTTTTCTTATTCCATCACGTCCCTGCTCCCCCCGCTGGGCCGCTCACGTGCCGCCGGTCATGATTTGCACCCCCCCCTCTTGGACACCCCCCTCTTGGCCGCTCCCGAACGACAGCGGATCTCTGGGATCTTGGCTGTTCTGGGCACCCGGCCGCCCCCTTTGTCGGCCGCGTCCGCTGCCCTCCTCCCCTCCTCCCGCACGGTGGCACACGGCGCTGCAGCTTACATCGGCACCCCCGCTCAGGCAGCTCATCGCCGGCGCAGTGTGAATGACTCTGCTCAGCCGCCGACGCAGAAAGTTTTCGGCGCCCGTGTCGAGCAGGTGGAGTCTCCCCATGGGGCGCACGGTTGCAAGCAGTCGCAGGAAGCAGAGGTCCGGAGCCAGCCCCCCCCCCTCCCCCCCTTTCCGCCCAATGCCGAAACGCCGAATAAGAAAACGCTCACCTTGGCATCACCTTAACCTCGGTGCCGATCTTAAGGATCCCCTCAATTTCAGAGGGCCCATCCCCAAGATTTTCTCATGGCCTCGGGCTTGCCGATCTCAGGCGTGCGGATAAGTTCGAGGCTGGTCAGCGGCCCCTTCTTGGTACCTTGTTTTTCTACCTTGTTTTTCTCTGGCGGTCACTGGCGTGACCAGGGGGGGACCCAGACATGCGACGTCTTGATTTGTTCAAGACGGCGTCTCTGGAAGTCCCGACCCGTTCCCCGGGACTGGCTTGTCGTCCTGAGTCGCTTTTCGACGGTCCCAAGGCCCGGCGAGGGCCCCCGAGGCCGAAAGTGACCACAAGCTTCCCGTCCTGATTTCTTCACGACGCGATCATGTCTGGGGAGGCAAGGGTCAGGAGGAGAAAAACACACAGACACAAGTAATCGTCGACTCCCAGGAAAAGATTAGAAAATATGGGAAGTGGGGGGGAAGACAAAAACCCAGAAAATATGGGGAAATGTGGGGAATCCTGTTCTTTGTGTCTATTTGTTTGTGTGTCCCAGGGCCCCTTCAAAGGGGGAAGGGGGCCGCTCACGTCACGGCTCGGGGCCCCGCCCTGGACACGCTCGCGTCGTGCAGAACACCACGGCGGGAAGCTCTTGGCCGTCCTCGGCCTTCGGGGGGCCCTTGCCCGGCCCCAGGGCCGCCCGACAACTTTGCCCGAGACGCGAGGTCGGTCCCCGGGAACGGGCGGGGACCTCCAGAGAGCGACGCCATGAAGACTCTTGCTCCTGCTCCTCCTCCCCCTCCTCCTCCTCCTCCTCCTCCTCCTCCTCCTCCTCCCTCCTCCCTCCTCCTCCTCCTCCTCCTCCTCCTCCTCCTCCTCCTCCTCCTCCTCCTCCCCCCTCCTCCTCCTCCTCCTCTCCTCCCCTCCTCCTCCTCCTCCTCCTCCTCCTCCTCCTCCTCCTCCTCCTCCTCCTCCTCCTCCTCCTCCTCCCCCCTCCTCCCCCTCCTCCTCCTTCTCCTCCCTCTCCTGCTCCTCCTCCTCCTCCTCCTCCTCCTCCTCCTCCTCCTCCTCCTCCTCCTCCTCCTCCTCCTCCTCCTCTCTCCTCCTCCCTCCATCCTCCTCCTCCTCCTCCTCCTCCTCCTCCTCCTCCTCCTCCTCCTCCCTTTCCTCCTCCTTCCTGCTCATCCTCCTTCTTCTCCTCCTTCTCCTCCTCATCCTCTTCTTCCTCCTCCACTACGTCGGGGATCTGGGGCTTCCGCCGCTGCCCCCCCTCGGCTCCACGGCACCCCATCCTCGCGTTCCCTGGCGCAGGGGGGCCCGCCGCGGTCTTTTCATGACAACGCCCGAGAGCGAGGTCGACGGCCCTCGAGCGGGCGCCTGCGCAGGCTTTGCGCCTGCGCAGCCATGCCTCCCCAGAACCCCCTCGCGTCGTGACAAAAATCACGACGGGAGGCGTCTCGGTATTCTCGGCCTCCCCAGGGCCATTGCCGGGCCCCGGGGAAGGAGTCCCGACCTCTGGGGGTCGACGCTATGACAAAAATCCGACGTCGGGGATCTGCCGTCTGGCCAGAGGAGGAGGAAAGGATGAGGAGGAGAGCGGGAGGAGTAGGGGGAGGAGGAGGAGGAGGAAGAAGGGGAAGGAGGAGGAGGAGGAGGAGGAGGAGGAGGAGGGCGGAGGAGGAGGAGGAGGAGCAGGAGGAGGAGAAGGACGACGTTGTAAAAAAAATCACGGCGTCGGGGGCCTGGGCCTGCAGGTCTCGGTGCGCCCTGGCGCGCACGGGCCGACAGCCCAGCTCGCTGTAGACGCTCTGCCGGCACTGTGCCGCTGCCCCTCCCCCGCCCCCTCCTCCTTCCCCTCCTCCTCCTCCTCTTCCTCCTCCTCCTCCTCCTCCGTAGCCATTTTTGCTCAAGATGCCGACCTTGGGAGGCTGTCATCCTCCTGGCCGAACGGAGACCGCTAGTCCGCGGACCGCATTCGAGCATACTCTGGGCAAGGGTGCCCCGTTTATCGAATGTCCCCCATTTTTGCTTCTCCATGGCGGACGCCCCTCCCGCAGCTACGGTCGCAGACGGGACGCTCCGACCCGGCGGCATCCAGAAGCGCAAGGGCCAGGGCCATGCTGACGCTGATCCTCCTAGTGGACGTGGTGATCGCTCAAGGACTCAGCCGCCCAGCGACGAGTCCGCATTCGGCTCCTTCGCCACCATGACCTATGCCCAGTCCCTCAAGGACAAGCTCGACTCCGTGGAGGCCGCCATCAGGGACACCATCAACGCATCAGTCTCTTCAGCGATGGGTTCGGCCACGGGCCCCATCTCAGCTGCACTCGCTGCAGCCCAAGCTGGCATCAACGGCCTCTCTGGCAAGATCGAGCAGGAAGTGGGCCTCGCTGTGGGCCAGCAGATCGACGCCACCCGCATGTCATTCCAGCAGAAGTCCGACGCGTTCACCCAGCGGATGGGTGACATCGAGAGCCGCCAGGACCAAGCAGACAAGGCCATCTCCTAAATGTCCGAGCAGATCGCGACGTTGCAGAAAGCGCTCGAAGTGGCCAACAAGCAACTGGTGCAGGAGACGTTCGTGGACCGCGACTTCGGCAGAGAGGTGGACCTCACCATTGTTAAAGTGCACGCGGACGGTCTGGTCACCCTCGACAAAGCCACAGAAGCGCTCACCAAGTGGATCACGGACTGTGGCATCTAGGAATCGCACTGCAAGATACAGGGCCAGGACACCTCCAGATACTTCACGATCAAGTTCACGGGCATGCCTGGGCCCACCTCCCGCAGAGTTCAGAAAGCATTGGACAGTCTCCGCAATCGTGACGGTTGGTCCCGCTTCCGCGCCCCAGCGATTGCAGGCAACGGGTCTGTCGAGCTGCGGTTGGGGCCAGACACGTCTCCCAAGCAAATCGAGACCGAGATCGTCGGCAAGCGCATTCGGCAGGCCCTGGAGCGGGGTTCCCCTACCCTCACTTTGAAAGTCGACCGCGCCAAGGGCTGGATCTCGGCCAACTGGTCCCCCGTGCTCTCCTACACAGTACATCCTCGACGTGATGAAGCTACGAGGATTGCCTACCAGGACACGGGCCTTCCCACTCTCGGCATCACCCGGGCGCATATCAAGGGCGCCATCGGCGATGTGGTTACGCCCGAGGCTGCCCCTCACTTTTGGCTTTGACAAGACCGCCAAGGGGCTGAAGCGAGCGCCGCGTGGTCTGTCTCCGCGTCAAGTGGTTGGCACTTGGAACGCACAGGTCCTCCTCAGCTACCAAGGGCGCCGGGTGGTTGAGAAGTCTCCCTACCTGCGCTCCCTCCCCCTCGACAAGATGATCCTGGGCATCCGGGGGGGGCGCCAGAACCGCGCCCAGCTTCTCTCTTTGATGCGGAAGATTAGCACCAAACTCTCCATGCACTCCTTCTTCGCGCAAGGTCACCATGGGGGAGTCAGCGGCGGCGTTGCCACGGTCTCCCCCTTCGGCCTCAACGCGGCGAGCGAGGCCCTCCTCCCAGGGCGCGTCTTGCGCACCGCTTTCCAAGCTGATGAGAAGAAGATGGTTTTCTACAACATCCACAACTACGAGATCGGCAACGCGGCGGCCAAGCGCATCTCGGTCAAGATCAACAGCGACATGCACCTGGCGAGGGCCAACCCGAGCAAGATCGCGCTGGTCGTCATCGGGACTTCAACTTCGCCGCTGTCGGGAAGCTGAAGATCACCGAACCCACCGCCAGAGCCTCGTCGGAGGCAGCCGAGACCTCCGAAGCTTCGGCGCGCAAGTGGCATGGCGCGCTCAAGCACCTGGTTGATCGAGGGCGGCGACGCAACTCATTTCTGCGCGGAGACGCTGCCGGAGTCAACCATCGACCGCTTCTTCTGCTCGATCACGCCTTCCCAGATAATCCAACTCACCGTCGCCTCCACCACCTTCTCCACCCCGGAGCTGGCGTCCCGCCGTCGGGCCAGCGACTTTGCCGCAGTTCTCGTCTGCTTCGCCGCGCGTGACCTCAACGCTGAGAAGAACCAGCCGATTGCTCAGCACATCTTCAAGTCCCCCATCTTCAAGCAGATTGCGGAGAAGGCGGTTCCCCAGACCGACCTCGACAGGCTATCGCCGCCAGCCGGACTGCTACAGAACACGGAACTCCGACGAGAAGTCGCCCGAGCCGCCCGAGACCGCATTCATGAAGAGAATCTTGGACAAGGGGATGTCCAGCCCCAGCTGGCCAAATCGATCGCTCGTGCGGTCTGGAGACAGGATCGCAAGCTGGCAGCCGGACTCCTCCGCGCCCATGCCAACGCTCAAGGTCTCCTCGACATCAGCAATAACCGAGCCCGAGCCCAGTCCCAAGCTCTGCGCCACAACTGGCGCCGGCGGTGAACCGTCAACCTGGTCACCGCGGGAACCTCGTAGAGCTCCTGGCACCAGTAAGAGTGCTGAGAATCGAAGTAGAGTAATAAATGCAGATTTTCTTAAAATCTTGATTTGGGGATTTTTCCGATGTTCATATGAGCTCGGTTCCCGGAAGTCAACTCATTTAATAGAATGCATCGCGAGAGCTGAGCTGCTCTCAGAGTAAGCCTTATATGCGTTTGCTTAGCGCAAAAATCTAGCTTCTTAAAATAAATGGTCAAATATCTTTGAAATATTAGCAAAACCGACCAAAAGTCACCACTTTGTCCGCCCGGGCCGGGTCGGCCAACTATAGCTCCACCCCGCGCCGGAATTCCTCTAGCTCATCGATGCCGAAGAGCTCTACGAGGTATATCCAACTCTGGAACCCGATTAGCAAACGCATGGTGCTCATTGGTGTGAAGACAACTATTGGAACAGTGACGGGACCGACTGAGAGACTGCATAAGCTGTCGGAGCACTGGCAACCCGTCTTCCAGGCCAAGACTGTGGACACTGAGGCGGCGGAGGTCTACTTTGACCGGTGCGCGCCCCGGATCGACTTCAACATTTACATGCCCCCTGACTACGACGCGCTCAGGAGGTTCGCGCGCAGGTCCTCCCCCACCTCCCCTGGCATGGGCGGGCCCCCCTACAACGCCTGGTCCGCGCGCGAGAAGCGCACCGAGACTCTCTGGCAGGTCATGACCTAGATGCTCGGCGGCGGCCTCCCCCCCGACGAAGCCAACGCGACGGCCCGGGCATGTCTTCCCAAAAGGGGAAGAACCTGACGGCGCTGAGCGCATCGGTTGCCGCCGTGACCCGCCCCATGCTCGCGTCCTTGGGCTTCGGAACACTTCCCTCGAGATCATCGGCAGCACCGTGGACGCTGCGATGGCCGCGGTGGTCGCTGATGCGGCGCCAGCATCGCAGCGCGGCTTCACCCACCGCCGCGACTTCGGTTACAACATCCTTGAGCTGGACGTCGAGAGCCGCATCGCGTCCGCCGACCCCGACGCCATGTCCAAGTTCCCCGTGCTGGTGTCACTTGACATCGCGCAGGCCTTCCCGAGTTTCGCCCGCCAGTTCATCCGCCCCGCGCTGAAGGCCATGGGGGCGCCCGCGGCTGCGCCGAGTTTCTTCGACTCGATGCGCCACAACATTCTCGCTATGGCCCCTGTGCGCGGGCTCGTATGTCCCGCTCTTCTACGTCAGCTCGGGCATCATCCGGGGCTGCGGGTGGAGCGGCGCCCTCTACGCGATGGGCGCCGCCTGCTTCCTCCTCGACCTGGAGCAGCAGCTCGAGCGCCGTGCCTGCGCAGACCGGGCTGGTGCTAGCGGCGGTCGCCCACCTCGCGCACTTGGAGGGGGCGATGGTCCTCAGACCTGGCGGGCCCCGCGCTGGAGCCTGCCAGGTGCCCCGTCATTCCGCTTGCGGGTCCTGTCGACGACGGGCTCGGGGGCGAGCTGCGCGACGCCCCGATCGCGACCGTCCCTCGCTTCCAGGTGTTCAACATCTGCGACAACCTGACCGACCTGGGTCTTCTCCTGGGGCCTGGGACGACCGAGAGCTCGATCCACGCGAAGGCCTTCCAGAAGTTCCGCTGGCGCGCCCAGGTGTACAGTGCCAGCGACGCGCCTTCGGTGGGCTCCGCCCAACTGTTCAATGGCCCTGCCCTCCCTGTCCTCAGCTACTTAGCCCAGTACGCGCTGCTGCCCCACCAGTCCTTCAAATTTGAAAACTGAGCCAATGCACGAGTCCTGAGGTTCTCCAGTGGCGCGTTCAGGGTCAAAGACTGGCCAAGGCTACGGGACTGGGACGCGCATGCGCCACGGCTCATGCAGCTCGCGATGGTTGCCGCGATCGTCCGTGCCGCAACGTCCACCTTGCACGAGTTCCCCGAGATCCGCAAACGCCATCACCAGGGATTGTGCCATTACGGAGATGACCAGACTTTGCTGGGCGTTGCTCGTGCTGCGCAGCATCTCTCATCGCCTTGGTGGAAGACGCCGCCCTTCGTCGAGACGTTCCACCAGATTGTGTTCGCGGAGACGGACCACCGCTACTGCCCGTTCGCGCTGCGTGCCCACGCCCTCGAGGCCGCGAGGGCGTCTCTAGCAGCAGGCAAGCCTGCCCGTGTCCAGCGGCTGGCATATGCTGCTGCAAGGAGTGCACTGGGCGCGGACGAGATCGCCACGTTCGTCGTGAAGAGGCTCACGATCGAGCTGCCCGACCTCATGGACACCTTCGAGAACGACTCCGAGGTGTTCGACAGGGCGAAGATTGCGATGAAGAAGCTGCCGCCGTCGTGGGCCGCAACATGGATGCGGACTCTCTCTCTTTCTCGCTGGATGCGGACTCGTTCTCTAGTGCACCGTCGGCGCCGACTGCGAGGAGCACTGCCTGACGCGCGCCCCGCGGGCTGCTGCCGTTGCGGCGGCGACCCGTGCCGCCGTCCAGACCGAGGCCGTGGCGAACCTCGCGCTGCTGGGCACAAGCATCGAGAACATCGAGCGGGTGGTCGTCGCCTGCGGCACCTACCACATGCTCCGAATGAAGAACAGCGTCGACGCGGAGACCCTGCGCTTTGTGGCGCGGGCGGCGCTGCGTGCATCGCGGACGGGTTCAGCGTGCTCCTCTTCCCCGTGCTGGAGCTGCTGTGCACGTTCATCATCAAGTACACGTACCTGGTGCGCCCGCCCCTGTGAGCAGGGGCTTGGCGCGGTGGCCGTGCGCGGCCGTGCGCGGGGGCGCGCGGCTGGCGCCGGCGGGAGGCAAGACCGCGCGCCTCGGCGCGATCGACTCCTCCTCCTCCTCCCCTTCCTCTCCTCCTCCCTCCTCCTCCTCCTCCTCCTCCTCCTACTCCCACTCCTCCTCCTCTTCCTCCTCCTCCTCCTCCTCTCCTCATACTCCCTCCTCCTCAGCTCCTTCTCTTCTCCTCCTCCTCCTCCTCCTCCTCCTCCTCCTCCTCCTCCTCCTCCTCCTCCTTCTCCCCCCATCCTCCTTCCTCCTCCTCCTCCTGCTTCTCCTCCCCGGCTCCACTGGGTGCCCCGAGATCGGGACGCTGCACTTTTTATTGCGATTGGCGATGTCACCCGGCGCCGGGATCCGGGACAACCGCACCATCACAGCTCGATCCAGCTCGCAAGATGCCGCAGGGAGGCGGGGTCCCAAGCTCCGGTCGAGGCCCGTTGCGGTTTTGCAGTCAGGTTGGATCACAGGGCAAGGCTTCGGGTTGCACAGGGACCCCCCAAGTGGTTGCACATGGACCCCCCCAAGTTGGTCCCAGCTGGCCTCAACACTCCATCCCTCCACTCCCCCTTCCCTCTTCGCCCCCTCCATCGGCCCCCTCCCTCCTCGCCCTCTTCTTCCCCCCCCTCCCTCCCCGCCCCCTCCCCCCCCCCTCCCTCGTCGCCCCCCCCTCGCGCCCTCCCTCCCCTCCCTCCTCGTCCCCCCCCTTTGCCCCCCCCCCCCCCCCCTTCGCCCTGCGCCCCGCCAGGGACTGGGGGCATCTGGGCCGGCCTGGCCAGATTGTGGCACGGCGCCCGGTGAGATGCGGGCGAGCCGCCTCCCACACGCTGGAGCCGAGCGGTGCTCGCGGCCACACGCAGAGTCGCTGACGCCTTCTGCCCGCCGCCCTCGACGTCGTCGCCGACCGCTGCCACCGCCGAGGTCGCCGCTGTCGTCGCCGTCGGCTTCGTCGCCGCCGTCGTCCCTGCCGCCGTCGCCGCCGCCGTCGCCGCCGTCGGCGCTGTCGCCGTGGACATTGCCGTCGACGTCGGCGTCGTCGTCATGTTGGGAGTCGTCCCGAGCGGATATGAAACCGTCGTTGTCGGAGTCGTCGCCGAAGGGGGGGCGGAGGATCAGGAGGACGATGGGAGCAGGGGAACGCGAGGACGGGGAGGAGGAGAAGGAGGAGGAGGAGGAGGGAGCACTAACACCGTCATAAAGACTATGTTGATGATGCTGCTGTGGATGCTGGTGATGCCTGAGATGATGTTGTTGATGCTGATGGCGGCGACGGCGATAATGATGTTGGTGGTGATGATGATGACGGTGCTTATGATGATCGTGATGATAATGATGGTGGCGATGGTCACGGTGACGGTGATGGTGATGGTGATGGTGGTGGTGAGGGTGAGGGTGATGGTGATGGTGATGGTGATGGTGAGGATGTTGTTGTTGTTGTTGGAGATGACGATTATGATGCTGATGATGATGCTGAAGAGCATGACAATGATGATGGTGATGCTGATGCTGATCAGCATGAGTATGATGATGATTATTTTGCAGGTGGGGTAGGGGGAGCGTTTATGCTGCGCGCGGTCCGATCAGGGGCTGCCCGTTGATTCAGGTCTCACTTCGTGAGAAAGTCGAGTATGAATGTCGAGTATGAGCTTTACAGTTGAGACCCATGCCAAGAAGCACCCTGCGTGCCTCCAGGGTGCCCTGGGTTTCTTGGGGTTCGTTGCATTTGCGATGGACAGCGTGACGTTCCCACGCCTAAAATCAACGGACGTCTTGGTGCCTCAGGGTTGCACTTCTGCTGGAATGTATATTGTGGACTTGCCTCCGCTGTATCTGAAATACCGACGCTGCCGTGCGAACGTTGCGACCTACAGAGGAAGAGACCAAGTGACACGTGTGAAAACGCGTAGTTGCAACTACTATGTTATCAGCGCTGTCGTACAAGGAGTTCCCCCTCCTCCACCTCCTCCCCCTCGTCATCATCATCATCAGCAGCAGCATCTCCATCTTAATCAGCTGCATCATCATCTTCTTTCTCCCCACAGGGGACGGGAAATCGGAGAGGAAATCAGTTGGTGGAGGAGGAGGATGAAACGAGACGAAGGAGGAGCAGGAGGAGGAGGAGAAGGAGGACGGCAGAGGCAGATGAATGTGCTCGGCCACGCAGAGGAGGAGGAGAAGGAGGATGAGCAGGAGGAGGAGGATAAGGAGGAAGCCACGAGGAGGAGAAGTAGGAGGAGTAGGAGGAGGAGGAGGAGGATCCCACGAGTAGGAGGAGACGGAGGATGAGGAGAAGGAGGAGGAGGAGGAGGAGGAGGAGGAGCAGGAGGAGAAGGAGGAAGCCACGAGGAGGCGGATGTCGAAGAGGAGAAGGGGGAGCAGGATGCGTGTATCAACCACAGCCGAGACGAGAGGAGGGGCAAGGAGGAGGATGAGGGGGGGACATGGAGAACAAGACATGGAGGTAGACGCGCAACCGGGTGCTAAAGGAGGGGGGCTGATACAGGCATAGGCATGCATGCGTGAACGTGTGTATGCACGTAGAAGCACTGGCAAGCAGTAGTCCGCTACACTTACTGGAATGGCGCGCGCAGTTCACTTCTCCCCGTGTTATGGTATCTTAGTTCGTTGCGGCATGTCGTTTCATGGTGTTTTGCATGTATGCCGCTACCCACCAAGCCACCACAACCCAACCCTAAGGCCTCAATTTGCTCTCCATTTCCAGTGGGGGGTGCGGGAACATCGACAAACAACATATGGAGCCTATACCCCCCCAAACCCGAAATTCGGGTCTTCGGGTTGGGTTGGGGTGGTCTGGTAGGTAGTCAGTATGGTATAGTGTTGTGTCGCATATGGTGTTGTGTTATTCCACTGTGCTCACCTCCTGGTTTGTTGCTCTCCTCCTCCCAGGCGGCAGCTCGCTTGGTTCCTCTGCTTCCTCGCGGGATCTCTCCTGTACCTTACCCTTTTTGTGTGTCTCCAAGTCCGCACAGGCGGCTGCCTTTATTGTGAAGGCCTTACGGTCGGTGCCGCCGACCCTGAAGGTTTCGGCCGTCGATGGCGACGGGATGTGTGATCACAGGAAGGAGCTAAAGGACAACGTGACAGGGTAGGCGGAGGAAGTGTGTGAGGAGGAGGAGGAGGAGTCCGCACAGGCGGCTGCCGTTATTTGTTTGCCCAAGCTTGAGTCGACGCTTAAGTCGAACCTCGAAGTCTTTCGCACTGTCAGGGCGCAGCGGGCATAGCACTTAATGCCCGCGCAGCGCAAAATGGAGGAGGAGGCATACTGTGGAGCAGAAGGGGGAGGATGGGGCTGCAGCTCCGAGTTTGCAAAAAAGGGGGGAGAGCGGGGGGAAGCGAAACAGGAGGACGATGATGCGGTGGTTGTGGGGTAATGTCGGCGGGGACGCATGGCGAAGGCACCAGGATGACCGCTTGCTGACCTGCTTCGAGCCAGATTGGGAGCAGTGCGAGCGCTTGCCCAGGACCAGTACCTCGCCCTTGCACCATCTTCCCGCTTTACGAGGGGAGGAGGCGGGGGCATGAGAAGGGAACTGGGGCGGTGGGGAGGAGGAGGGTGACCAGAGTCGAAAAGCGGATGTGTCCTCCATCCTTCTGGCGGCGTTCGATGCAAAGGTGCAGGGCCAAAAGGAGCAAGGAACGCCCAGCGAGAGTCCTATGTTGAAGCGGAACCGCCCTTCACCCATTTACTGTTGCACGTGTTGAGCTTTCGAGGCAAAGATGCCTGGAAGCGGGAGCCCCTTTTTGAAAGCGTACCGCCGTAGTTGTCGAATAAGGTTTGATTCGGGCGAGTGTGCACGGAACCAAAGCGAATGTTCGTTTTGATAAGGAATTGCCCCCAGTCGTAAATTCATAGGGAGGTCTCAACCGCCAAGGAGAGATTCATTTCGAACAGCAACCGCCTTCCATCTTTGTAGTTGTTGGAAAATGTCGGCGTCACGGTCGGAGTGTGGAGGTCTCACGCATAACGTCCGGACCGCCTTGCCTACCGGCAGAAGTGGGGGACACTAGCATAACGAGGAGGTGTGGAAATGATGATGGAGGATGGGATCGGGCGGGGTGAGGGAGCAAAGGGCGAGGGACGAAATCATAGAGGAGAAAGGAAGAGAGAAAGAGAGAGAGAGAGATAACGAGAGAGAAAGTATGAGAGAGAGAGAGAGAGAGCGTGACAGACAAGCCAAGACAAACCAAGACCGATGACAAAACCATATCGACTTGCCTGATAACCGCACCCTGATCTCGAGGAACAGCAGGGCGACGAGGCAGGCAAAGTCAGCGAAAGGGAGAGATTATTCCTCATCCTCCTCCTCGTTCCTCCTCGTCCTCCTCGCGCCTCGCTCCTCGGTCCTCGCTTCTCGCTCCTCGCTCCTTGCTCCTCGCTCATCGCTCATCGCTCCTCGCTCCTCGCTCGCTCCTCCTCCTCCTCCGCCTCCGCCTCCTCATCCTCCTCCTCCGCCTCCTCCTCCTCCTCCCTCCTCCGCCTCCTCCCTCCTCCTGCTGCCCTCTCTCTCGGATCGTCAGGGAGGGCAGCCAGCCTCGCAGGTCAGCCAGCTCGGCACCATGGCCGCAGGGCGAAGGCCCCCGCCGCGGGCACGCACACCGTGGAAGGGCCACCACGGGCGACGAGAGTGGTGTGGCTCCACCCGGCTGGTCGCTTTGGGTGGGTATTTTTTGGTCGGGGGGGGGGGATCCCAGGTTCTCCGTCCATTTCAGGCGCCCATTCCTGCTCCTGCCTCCTCCTCGCCCTTTCTCCTCCTCCTCCTCCCGCTTTTTACTCCTCCTTCTTCTCCTGCTCCTCCTTCTCCTCCTCCTCATCATCATCATCCTTCTCCCCCTTTCTCCTCCTCCTCCTCCTCATCATCATCATCATCATCCTCCTCCTCCTCCTTCTCCTCCCCCTTTTCTCCTCCCCCTCCTCCTCCTCCTCCTCCTCCTCCTCCTCCTCCTCCTCCTCCTCCTCCTGCTATCCTCTAATTCCTTCTCCTCTCTTTTCTTCCTCCTCCTCCTCCTCCTCCTCCTTCTCCGCCACTCTCCCTCAACTCCTCGTGAGGCGCCGAGGCACGGATGGCACGACGGCCTCCAGACGTGGCTATTCGCCCCCCCCCCCCCAGGGCAGGTGGGCAGGTCAGCGCCTGGGGGGGGGGAAGCTAAAACCACTAAGCCAGGTCATTCCACGGGCGCCCGGCCCGGGTCAGAGTCACCGGCTGGTGAGGCCAGCTGCACAAGGCCGCGGCAGAAGACCGGCGGCATCAGAAGAAGATCGATCGAGAAGGAGCGAAGAGCGGCAGCATCAGAAGAAGACCGATCGTCCTCTTCCTCCCACTCCTCCTCCCCCTCCTCCACCTCCAGCTCCTCCTCCTCCTGCATCTCCTCCTCCTTGCGCCCCCCTGGTGGGATAGCGGGGCCCTGGGAGCGCTCAGGGATCCCAGACCCCGAAGAGTTGATTTTTTCATAGCGTCGATCCCCAGTGGTCTCGACCCATTTCCTGGGACCAGATTTTCATCCCAAGCATTTTTTTACGGCCCCCTTGCTTTTTCTCCTCCCCCCCTTTCTCCTCCTCCTGACCCTTTCTCCTCTCTCCTCCCCCCTTTCTCCTCCTCCTCCTCCTCCTCCTCCTCCTCCTGCTCCCTCCTCCTCCTCCTCCTCCTCCTCCTCCTCCTCCTCCTCCTCCTCCTCCTCCTCCTCCTCCTCCTCCCCCTCCTCCTTCTCCTGCCTTTCCTCTGATCCTGCTTTCGCCCTCGCCCCCGCTCATCCGCCTGTGCTTCCGGTGCTGCCTCGCCCGCGTCGGCGGCCCTGCCGCCTGGGCCGCCTGGGCCGCCAGTGCCGGCAGCTGCTGTTACCGAGGGCCAGGTCAGCTCCGTCTCTCC